AGGTACATAAATGTTCTTAAGTTTCTTTGACAAATAGTGACACCTTGTGCAAATGTGGTAAAATAGCAAGAATGTAGTCCTAGTAGACTTCAACAGGAATTACTAGATCTGCTTAACTGTTCATTCAGAATGAAAATAAAGGTCTATTTTAATATTTGGTAGGCCATTTGTAAAATTATAAAACAAATAATTTGCTGTTCTTTACTATTACAGTTCATGATTTATCAAGTTCCTTTACAATCAAAAAAACTAATTAGTGGATATCAGAATTTCTATTTGAAACGCTTGAATAGGAAAGTAAAATTTCAACACAGGAATAACAAATTTTCATTGTTTTACATATTTTTTTGCAAAAGTTAAACAGATAAAAGTGCTGAAGAGGGAGTCAAAGAAAACAGATTCATCTAAAATACCAGCTTTACTTAATGTGGATCAAAATCAAGAAAAACAAGAGGTAAAGCCTGTGTTTACAACTTTTACTCAGCAATGTTGTTTTGAGTCTTTTATTTAGTGTATAAATTTAGTTATTACTATTGGAAATCCATATAAAAATTAAAAATTCTGGAATGCTTGAACTCTAGAAACAGATCTGTATTTTCTTAGACTAACCAATCATTAAGTCTTCCTGCTCTTCTTGCCCTTCCCCTTCTTTCCCTTTTTCTCCTCTTTTTTCCTCTCTTCTCACTTTTAAATTTCTTGTTGTCCTGGGGACTGAGTGCAGAGCCTTCACTACTAAGCTATGTCCTCATCCCCCCTTTCTTTTTCATTTTGAGATGGGGAGGTCTCACAAAGCTGCAGAGTTGTCCAAATTGGACTTAAATTCACAGTGATCCTCGGCCTCCCATAATACTGGAATTGTAGGCATATGCCACAATGCTTGGGTCAATTACTGAAAGTTTCTAAAAGTAAGTTTTTTTTCAAGTAGTAAATATCAATAAATTTTACATGACTGGAATGCAGAGCCTGCAGGGAAAATAATGGCTTTCTTATGTATATTGCCGAACATTGAGCCAGCGGTTCACACAGTGAAGACCAGCACGGTGAGGACGTCTGGCTGTGCTGGCCACAGAGCGTGTATTTAGCTTCTGTTTTCTCTCCAGTTTATTTCCATCTGTTTACTTCACTGTTTTCCAGCCGCTGCCCCATTTTTATATTTGCTCTCAGCTATCAGGTGATCTTGTTGAAATACCCCTAACTTCTACATACGTAAAAGAATTTATGAAATTTACTTTAAAATCTTGAAGCTTTCAATGAACAAATCAATATTCAATAAAGTACTCTTTTAAAGAACAGAGACCATGTTGAGAGCACCCACTAAATTAAATCCTATACCAACGGGGTATAGTGGGGCATGCCTGTAATCCCAGTGCTCAGAAGGTTGAGGCAGAGGATAACCATGAATTCAAGGCCACCCTGAGTCATATGTAAGTTCAAGGCCAGTCTGAACTACATAGTGAGACACTGTCTCAAAAAAAAAAAAAAATCATGTAAGTGGCCTCCTTATGAGGCCATCTCTGTGTGTGCGTGATTTTGGATTTATCACCTTATCTCCATTTTTAGAAATGAAATTGACTACATTTTTATTTATTATAAAATTGCATATACTTATTAAGAAAATGTAAGAAATTTAGGGCTGGAGAGATAGCTCAGCAGACTAAGCACCTGCTCAGGCAGGCACAGGGACCTGGGTTCAATCCCTGGCACCACATGCTGTGCAGGTCCTGGACCCCCCCAACCCCCACATGCTGTGCTAGTCACTGAAACTAGGTGTGGTGGTGCATGCCTGCAATCTCAGTGCTGGGGAGGCTGAGACAGAAGGATCAGTGAGTCTGAGCTGCATAGCGAGACCCTGTACCAAATACATACATAAATAAAAGATTTTTTAAAAATTAATTTAAAAAAAAGAAATTTAGGGGGCCTGGGGTTCAATCCCTGGGCCTGCCATGCTGGCCCTGCCCCTGGGGGTTGCTGATATGGCAATTGAAACTGGGTTGGTGGCTCACGCCTATAATCCCAGCTCTTGAGAGGCTGTAAATAGGTGGATCACTATGAGTCAGATCTAGTAGCGAGACCTTGAACATCCTGTAGGCCCTTCCCTAAAAATACAAAAAAAAAATAATAATAATAATAATAAAAATAAAATAAAGAAATTTAACATGTATCTGAAACTATGTAAGAAGGCATTTGAACTGAGGGTGCCTTTGGTTAAGGAGTTATCAAGCATTATTAGATGTACCTGTATGTTTGCCATGACATTCAAAACTATGCTTCAGTGTTGGCCCAGAACTTGTTAAGAACCTGACAGTCCACTTTGCAGAAAAGTACTATTAGAGAATGGGAAAGCCATCAGTCTTTTCTTTTCTTTTTTTGTATTTAGGACAGGGCCTACAGGGTGTTCAGGGTCTCACTGTGTAGATCGGACTTGTAGTGAGCCTCCTGTTCACCAGTGCTGGGATTTCAGGCGTATGCCACCCAGCTCAGTCTCAATTGCCATCTCAGTGTGCCCTGGGAGGCAGGACCGGCCCGAGGCGGGACCAGCCCAGGGATCCAACTCCTGGCCCCTGAGTGTACCTAAGCAGGCAGCTTTAATCTGCTGAGCTATTTGGCCTGCTGAGCTATTTGGCCTGCTGAGCTATTTGGCCGGCCCAAAAGCCATCAGTCTTAACAAGGTACCAGTAAACTCCCTGCAGTCAGTCAGTGTAGCAGTATGTTGTATAGCATATACTCTAGTGCGCATATTTTGAAGGGTGGGGGAACGTGGGTGACTAATCATGTACCATAGGTATCATTTGTAGGGTAAGTAAGTAAGAAGGAGAGGGAGGGCCAGGGAGATGGCTCAGTAGAATAAGCGCTTTCCTGGCAAGCGCAAGGGCCTGAGTTCAATCCCCAATTCTGCCCCCTCCCCCCCCCCAAAAAAGGAGAAACTCCTTGGTCATGTATGTAGAACTCCTGAAAAGATGACCTTTTATTTATTTATTTATTTTTGCGGAACCGGGGATTGAACTCAGATCCTTGCGTTTGCCAGTCAAACGCTTATCCTACTGAGCCATCTCCCTGGCCCCTAAGATGACCTTTTATTTATTTATTTATTTTTGCGGAACCGGGGATTGAACTCAGATCCTTGCGTTTGCCAGTCAAACGCTTATCCTACTGAGCCATCTCCCTGGCCCCTAAGATGACCTTTTAAAAAGAATGATTGAATGATCTTTTGAGACCAGGTGTGGTAGTGCACGCCTGTAATCGCAGCTCTGGGGAGGCTGAAAACAGGAGAATCACTGTGAGTCCTAGCTGCATAGTGAGACCCTGTACCATATACATAAAAGAAAAAAAAAATCTTGAAATAAGTAATTATTACAAATATCTAGAGGTTGGGCTGGGAGTGTAGCTCAGTGGTAGAGCGCTTGCTTAGCATATACAAGGCCTTAGGGTTCAATACCAAGTATTTGGCACCTCAAGTGCCAAGGGGGGAGGAGAACCTCTCAGAATTGCTTGCATTTTATTTGTTCTGCCCATTGAAAAGCAGTTCTGCCAGGTGGCTGAGTAGCATGGAAGGCTGGCCAAACAATTTTAATAAGTTTGGATAGGGGCTGGAGAGACAGCTCATGGGCACAAGCATCGACCTGGCAAGCACAAGGATGATCCCCAGCCCCACATGCTGTGCGGTCTCGTCCCTGGGTCCCTGGGCACACCATCTCAGCCCCAGATCCCCATGTGTGCAGTCTCGGCCCCAGATGTAGGTACCCATTGTGAGACCCAGAACCAGGCATGGTGGTGCACACCTGTAATCCCAGCACTCAGGAAGTTGAGTCAGAGGATCTCTGTGAGTTCGAGACCAGCCTGGGGTCTACAAAAAGTGAGCAGAAGGCCAGCCTGAGCTGCATTGTGAGACCGTATCTCAAAAAAAAAAAAAAAAGTTTGGATAGTAGTGATAATAATAATATCAGGATAAGAATCTTTCCTAAGTTTTGAGTCTGTAGTTTATTTTATAGTACAAGAAATTGGGGGCCAGGGAGATGGTTCAGTGGAACAAGCGCTTCTCTGGCAAGCATAACAGCCTGAGTTCAATCCCTGGTTCCGAAAAAAAAAAGAAAAGAAATAGCACATATTGTCGAAGATAGGATAGATTGCCAAGCAAATAAAAATTTAAGATATAGAAGAGCAACTTATTCATCTTATTCTTGGCTCTGAGGCTGGGGGTGTAGCTCAGTGGCATGGTGCCTGCCTGAGGTTCTGAGTTCACCCCCCAAAAAATTCCAAACCTCATGGCTCTGACAGTAATCAGAGTGTCACCTAATTACATCAGCACACTTCCAAGGTGTACATTAAATTCTGTCAGGCAT